CCAATTCCACTCCTAAAAGGTCAGTTTACTTTTTATCTTTCAGGATAAACAGGAACTTGAAATTAAAAGAATTTTATACTTCTCCCTTACATTTCCACCATAAGATTTGAGGACAGCAATTTCTGCAATTTTAACTACTGGTAACTTGTCAAAAATTCCAAAGAATGCTAAAATTGAGACCCTCCTATGGTCTCAACTTCACTGTTCACAGAAAACCCAACTTTACTGAATAAAAGTTTGGCATGAGTATGCCCTGAAAGCTATTAATTACATTTAAAAAACAATGTTCAGATTGCTCCATAAACACTACAATGTAAATTATAATTTCAAATATTTAAAACAAAAACGTGTGGGTCCATTATATACCAACTTCTATACTGCCAGTTAGGAGCTCTGGTAGCATAGTACCTAAGGCACTTGACTGCTAACCAGAAGGCTGGCAGTTCAAACCCACCAGCCACTCCTCCAAAGGAAGACTGGGCAACCTACTTCCCTAGAGACACTGCCTTGGAAACCCAAGGAGGGGTCGCTATGAGTCGGGGCCAACTCGATGGCACATAACACCACCACCACACTGCCAGTTATGGGACTAGACTGTCCTGTAGAATAAGATAATCTGTACTTGGCTAATGAAACAGGACTATTTTCCTTACTATCAGGAGTGCTGGCGGTGTAGTAGATAAGGCACTAGACTGCTAACCTGAAGGTCAGCGGTTCAAACCTACCAGCCACTTTGCAGAAGGAAGACCCGGCAATCTACTTTCATAAAGATTTACAGCCTCGGAAACCCAAAATTTAAAATCTCTATCTACTCCTCACTCCAGGTTGCTTGCTACATATATCATTTTACGAGATACAAAGTAATTTTAAAGTAACTACCACCAAAGAATTACAACACTGTAGAAAACAAACTCTGCACTATAAAGCAAAATGAATGATTGCAATGCAATTGCTCCTAAGGAAAAACCAGGGATAATGTTAAATTTGGAAAAATTAAAGAAAGGTCCACCCATAATAAACTGTTGAACCATTCATTAAAAGTATTAACAGCCATACCCTCCTAAATTTTGTTTATTCTTCCATCAAGGGGAAAAAAAGTACATACAACAAACTGATTTTTGAAATATTTTTAGGATAAAACTGTTATCACTTTATTCTCAATTTAGCATTGTAAAAGAAAATGCACACAGTAATGTGTTTAAAAAAATGATTTAGATGATTTTAATGAATAAACAGCCTCACGATTAAGACTGTATTATTAATCTGTGTTCCCCAATATCCTCAAAAGTGGAAGACAGAAAAAAACAGATTAAGTGTCAAGTACACACATATACAGAGACATCAAAAAGAAGATCTAAAGGTCTTGAGAGGAACATGTGGCTGAGTAATTGGACAGTCATCAAGAAAACTCCTAATAGACCTTACAAATCAGAACTGCATTATGTGTAAGTGTAAACTTAAAACTTCAAATAAATTTCAATAAAAACTTTATTTTCTGTGGATAATAAATGGTCATAATCTAACATGTCATTAATTAAATTTAATTGTTCATTTTTTACTTCAAAGGTCACAAAGTATCAGGAAGCAGGGCAAGTATTCTAACAGTCAAACAACGACCTTGAAATCTAAATTGACGGCCATTTCAAATTACAGAAAACAATTACAATTTGAATATGAAATACATAATAGAGTGTAAGTCTTTAAAATATAGTTATAATTTAATCTCATTTGGATTGCCACTGTTAGCTAGCAATGAAATTGTACTAGTCTATTAGTCACCAAGGGGCTCTGGTAGCATAGTGCCTAAGGCACTTGACTGCTAACCAGAAGGCTGGCGGTTCAAATCCACCAGACACTCATCAGAAGGAAGGTTGGGCAATCCTACTCCTGTAGTGATACTGCCTAGGAAACCCAAGGACGGGTCGCTATGAGTCGAGGCAGACTCGACAGCACATAATAACAACAACATTAGTCACCAAATATATTATGTTCATCTGATCTATTTGTTCTATACCAAACTCTGACCTCACTCATATATATTTTATATATGTATATACACACACACATATATATACAAATACATACAGGTATATAAATTTTTTCCCCAGTTTTGCTTTTCCCTTTGCCTACTCGTTCTTGTCTGCTTTATTTCCAACAAAACACTGGACTGATTCCAGTAGATGACAATATTAATAGTAAGTAAATTTTGTGTGAAATCAAAATTTTATTCTGACTAAACAAAAACAGAATGCAACTTGTAGGATAAATTAGTCAACTATCTGCAAATTACTTATTCACCTGTGGCCCTCCAAACTCCAGTGCTGGTGGATACAAACCCCTGGAAAACTCAAATATGCTCCTAAAGGTGGAAAGATTGACATTTAGGGCAGGGGAAGGGTGGTAAAAAGAACAACACTCAACCTACCAGCCTTCCAAAGAAGAGTCATGCAACTGTGAATACATGGCAATCAATTATAACATTCCAGCCAAATCACATTAAAAACAAAAGATTTAAAAGAGCTGGAGTGGAAAGCCACACTAGCCCTCCTCTGAATGACTCATATCCAATTCTTATTAAAGCTTTATTTACAAATACAGTTGATGATAAAAGACAAATATTGTGCATAATACATATATACAGCACCATTTTTAAATTGTTTTACTTTTTAACATTTACAGAATATTGAGTATAACATGCAAGACACTTTAAACACACAATGTTATATATCAAGCAAAGATCTTTAGTATTAAACTAACTCCAACAAAGATTCCATCTTAACAAAAAAGTCAACACTAAAATTACAATAATTTGTTCTTGCCCAGATAGAAAAATATTACTAATTATATTTAGCTTAAACTGACCAAGCCAAAATTACATGCATTACCACAAATCAAAAACCATATTAACAGCATCAATTTTGCCCAAAGATTACACACTACACCTACAAAAATTTTATATCCCAGGTACAAAATATCCTATTGTACTAATGTCTAGAATTTCCTGGGGATCAATGGGCAACTAATAAAAACCCTCTGTATGTTATGGCTATTGAAACCTTTATAATACAGAAATAAAATTTAAAAGTTTTACCATTCTTCCCGCTGTGCCGTCGCTGCTTCAGTGTGTCGTGGGGAGGAGTTTGAATGGCTAGGGAATTAACAACCGGTACAGCAACCAATCAAAATTCTAGTTTTAGTTTTTGACACCGTTAGGGTTAAAAACTTTTAATTCATTTACACTTCAGTTCAACAGTAGATAACTAGAAAGGGAAATGTTTTGTGACTTGGTTAACTTGGGGGTAACAGAAAGTCTGCCCCACTTGTATATAATTAATCACTTTGGTCCCTCTGACCAAAGAACAGAATTCAGAAAACAAAAACCAAAATGTTAAAGGTTTAAGTTTCCAAATATTTTAAATATTTTTATTAAACTATACATAATTCAAAATTACTTCTATTTAAGAAAAGCTAGATTTCCCTCCCACCTCCCAAAATCTACAAAACAGCCTGACAAGAACCTGCCTAGATGGGGATTATTAAATCCTATTTCCAAAATGCTTCCCCCTCCCGCAAAAAAAAATCTTATGTACTCTTCCCCAAATAAAAAAAATTGTTTTTTAATATTGGGTCAAAGCGACATTTTATTGCTTTTACCTTCACCAACATCTTTTTCGTCATGGGAGAAGGGAGGGGGGGGAAAGACAGGACCTCTACCATTACAAAAGGGAATGGCAGCGTTAATCCAAGATCAGCAGTCAGTAACAGGAATAGGTAGAAAACTCAACCAAGAACGCCAATTTAGTCCCTCCTGCTAACTCCTGTACCCATGCTCCCGCTCCCAAATTTTAATACGTTAAATGCAGCTTTAAAGCACTTGTATACAACTGTTACTCCAATTGGAAAAAGCAAGTTAGTATTTAAAAGGGTACAGTAAAAACAAAACCCATATAGATCCCTTAGCACAATACAGTGCTTTTCATTCATTTTGTGAAAGAGGGTGGGCAGACCTCCTTTTAACAGTAGGTTAGAGAGCTGAAAGGAGAAATCAAGAGAGACCAAACTGGATCCCGGTCCCGGGGGCGAGGTGGAGTAATATTAGATTTTGTTTTTAAAAAAATGTTCAGAAAAAGTAAGGTGAGGTGTACAAGCTGTCCGAGTTGGAGAACCCAATAGCTGAGGGCGCGAAAAGGGTGCGCGGTGAGAATAACTCAGCAGGGTGGGGGAAGGGCAGCCAGCAGGCCCGAGGGAGGACCAGCTCCAGTCAAGTGCAGGCCCCGCCGACTGGAAACTTAACGAAAGCCCGCAGAGCAAAACCAACATACCAACAGGCAACTCCAGGCATTTTACCAGGCCAAATTTTTCCGTTGCTTGAAATACACGGCTTATACAAGCATGCCGTCGTGCGATAATGTACAGCGGCGGAAACTATCAAGTCCAGGCGAAACTTCAAAATGAAAAAAAATCGGCCTGACGATGGGGTGGGAGGAGTAGAGGAGGACAACAATCTCCACCATCCCAAAAGCATGTGGTTCTAAAGAATCGCATCCTCTAGGGATGGAGTGAGAAACGCCAAACAAATCTTAGCCCTACAGACAGAAGGGCTTTTGTGTCTGTCTGCGTTTTTATGCCCGAACTTCAGAAAACAGGAGAGCGATCACGGCAAAATAAAATATCCCTCGACAGGCGGGAAAAAATTCCCGGCGGCTAAATCGGTGGGAGGAGACCCACGACAAGGGAGGGAAGGAGGGCGGGCCAGGGAACAGCATGGTGACGGCTAAAGGTGGAAACGTGTGCGGTGGGGGAGGGGCGATAAGCAGGCAGGGGGAGAAGGAAATCAAGGCCCCGGGGAGCCCCATATAGAGGAGCAGGGAATAGTGCAAGGAGGCTGTATCTGGGCCTGGAGGGCAGGCGGGAGGAAAGCAGGAATAGGCCTAATGGCGGGGGAGGACAGGAAGAGCGAACTAGTTGGGCCTCACTATCCCGGGCCGCCCCTTACTCACCCTTCATCCTCCTCATTCTTACTGGCGTCGATCTTCGCCCCCTCTGACTCCGCGCTGCCCCCTTCGGTGCCTCCGGCTGCGGTTCCGCCCCCGGTCCCGCTTCCCGCCGCCGCTGCTGCCCCCTGCGCTGCTGCCACCATGGCTCCCTCCTGCTCGCCTGCCGAGCCGCCTACCGCCGCCGTTGCTGCCGCCGCCGCCCCGTCCCCGCCGAACTGCTCCTCCGACATAGTGCTACTACCTCCGCCGCCGCCGAGACTACACCCGCCGCTGCCGCGAACCGAAACTAGCAGCAAAGTAATCCCCGCCGCTGCCGCGCGCTCGCTCTACCTCGCGAAACACACAAGACAGGGAAGTCGCGCGCGTGGCTGCAAAGGCTCCTGCGCCTCTCCTTGGCCTGCCCCCCTTGCCTCCCACTCTCGCGCGGCACACACTCCCGCTCTGTCCAGCTACACTAAAAAAGAATAAGCAGCAGCGGCGGCCGCTCTTGCCTCCTCCTTGCTTTAATGGCGCCGCCGCGGACCACCTAAAATGGCCGACGGAAGAACGGCGCGTCCCGGTCACGTGACGCTAGAGCGCGCCCTTTGCGCCTCCCCCGCCCCCTCTATCTCTAGGGTTTTTTTTGTTTTTTTTTTTTTCCCCCCTTTCCTTCTCGGGCTCGCCCTCTTATACCTTCCTCTCTCGCGCCGCGTCTCACAGTGTGGGGCCTTTAAAAGGAACCGGAAGTGGCGTACGCTGAGACAGCCGCGCGGGGACCATCGAGAACAAGGAGCGCCGTTTCGAAAACACTGCTAGAAAGGTCCTCTTCTTCTGTCCCCGCCCTTCCGAGGGTTCCTGGAGACCGCGCACTCACTCCTCTCTTTCCCATCCGGCTGCTGGCGAGAGCGACGGCTTGGGGCTGGGGTGTGGTTCCGCTCCTCGCGACTTAAAGAGCTGCACTTCATCCAAGGCTACTGTGTCCTTGTCCTTTGGACCTGCAGGGTTTGGGTTAGGGGTTGGGGGCGCACATCTGGCAGCTCTGCTGTCTTAGAGCTGCCCAACTTGGGAACAGTGGCGGTCTTGAGATGCTGGCCCCATAAACCGGGTCTATCCACTGTGACTCCTGGAAACGCCTGGCTCGTCATGCCTGGCCTGGCGCGTGCACAGACTGCCGCCGCTCTTCCACCTCTCTCGCTGCTCCGGACCTGGTGACATTGATGTTTTCCCCGCTGCCGCTCTCTGCCTGCCGCGGAAGGGCGGACAAACTGAGGCTGCTGAATTAGTTTATTTTCCCTTTTAAGATTAGCTTTTCAATTAAGATTTTCACTTGCCTGTTTTTCTCCCGGAATTTTTCTGCAAATGAAGCAGGTAACTTGAATATTTTATTTTGGTACCGTTCTTTGAAGATCCAAAAATCTATCACGATTCCTTTTAGTTATTAAGAGTTTGGAATTGTGTTAGCTTAACCAGGGTTCGTTTAATGTTTTTTGATTCGTTGTTTGCCCTTGCACTAACTTGGATTTGTAAGTGCCAGCAGTCATCTTTATGAGACTTTGGTGTTTGTGGTGTTTTGGCGTTCGTGTTTTAAAAAACACCACTAGGTGTCTTTTGCAGGGACACGGTAAAATTATTCTTTAATATACCTGTTAAAAATTCGAAATGGCTTTGGATGGAATCTAGATTTGGGTTTGGGATTTGCAACTTCCTGCAGTACGCCTAAAAGAAAATGAAGTCAGCAAATAATTATTTGGTATGTGTGGAGAACTGGGAAAACAAAGTGAAGTTTGCAAAATAAAGAACGCTGAAAAATGTAAATATTTTCCAAATATTCTTAACTATTGTATAGTTGAATGAATTAGTATTAAATGAACACTATCCAAATCTGAAAGATAAATGAAAAAGAATATTTTTTAATTAATGAAGTTTTTAATGAGTTTGGATCGCAGCATAATTAATAAAACTCAAGAAAACAAATTCTGAAACCGTCTTAAAAATACAGTCTTACTGAACTCCTGTATTAATCTGATCACACATAAGAAACTGTCTTATATCAAATGGCAATTACTTCATTTATGTCTCCACCTGCCAAATGATAGCCAAGGAAAAAGGAGGATTGTTCTTAAACCATATGTTACCAGTTTGCGCTAACTAAAGAGGACCTGACTGAAAGGGGATTTCTTGGATCTCTGTTGGCTTCAAGAAGGGATGACGCCCTGTAATTTCTTCTGATCTCAAATCATCAGCAAATATGTCCACCTTTTGGTGATACTGATTTTTCCAAAAGCTTAATTTTAATTCACATGTGGCCAAGTAGTTTCTGGACTTACTGGGAATTTATCTAAATTCTAGATAGCCTAGAAATAATTTTAAAGGTATGATCTTTACTGTATGTTGTGTGAATGTGTATCATGGCATTTTCACTCATAGCCCTTTATATTGCCATCCAAACCTCTGCAACCTGTGCTCCTGTATCTACCCAACAATTCTCTTATGACTCTCATAGTATTAACTCTAGTACTTTGTATGTTTCTCTCAACTGCCTAGTAAATTCCAATCCATCTTTCAATAAAATACATCCCAGTAAAATGTTACTACTTCTGTAAAGCCTTCCCAGACTCGCTGAGACAAGATTATCTCTTCTTGTAGTCTTTTATCCATACTTTCATTTTTCTAAATGTCCACTTGTACTACACCTGGAGAGCAAAGATGTGTATCTCTTCCTACTACACATGCAGAAAGAGTTAAAAAGAGAGGAGGAAAAAAAAAAGAAACTTGCCATGGAGTCTGTTCCATCTCATGGTGATCCCATGTGTTTCAGAATAGGACTGTGCTCTACTGGGTTTTCAATGACTAATCTTACAGAAGGAGTCATCACACTGGGTGGATTCAAAGCGCCAACCTTCTTTCCATTAGGAGCTGAGAATGAACTGTTTGCTCTGCCTAGGGACCTCAATAATTGTAGCTTGAATTATTAAAAGACGAATCACTAGGTATTTCCAACTAGCTAGGATAAGAGCCTTTTAGGCAAACTAGATGTGCTTGTGGGACATAAAAAGCCCTTTTCCCCCACCATCCCAATTCATATCTGCCATGAATATGTTTTCCAAACACACTTGCTGATGGTTGAAATTCCTGAAAAAGTACAAAAAAAAAACCACTTCATTCCATTTTGTTGTTAAACACCTCACTGTTACAGAGTTGATTCTGACTCAGTAACTCCTTGGGTTTCTGCAGAGGTATCTCCACAGAAGGGAGTAGCTGGTAAGTTTGAACCACCAGCCTTCTGGGTAGCAGTCAAATGTCTTAGGCACTATGCCACCAGAGCTTCTATATTGTTAGGTGCTGTGAAGTCAGCTCCAACTCTTAGCAACCCTGTGTACAACAGAACGAAACACTAACCGGTCCTACACCATCCTCACAATCCTTGCTATGCTTGAGCCCATTGTTATAGCCACTGTGTCAATCCATCTCATTGAGAATTTTTTTTTTTTTTTGCTAACTCTCTTTACCAAGCATGATAGCTTTCTCCAGGGACTGGTCCCTCCTGACAACATGACCAAAGTAGGTGAGATGAATTCTGGCCAATCTTGCTTTTTAGGAGTATTCTGCTTGTACTTCCAGGACATATTTTCTTCTGGCATTCTGTGATATTTTCAGTATTCTTCAACACCACAATTTAAAGGCATAGGACTCTTCTTCAGTGTTTCATATCTATGTTTGAGCTTTCACATGTGTATGAGGTGATTGAAAATACTACAGCGTGAGTTAAGCGCGTGAGTGCTGGTGGTGTAGTGCCTAAGGCATTTATTCAACTGCTAACCAGAAGGCTGGCCATTCAAACCCACCAGCCACTTGGAAGGAAGATTGGGCAATCGACCACCTTGGAAACCCAAGGAGGGGTGGTGACATCTTTGCTTCTTAACACTTTAAAGAGGTCTTTTGCAGCAGATTTGCCCAGTGCAGTACAGTGTCTAATTTCTTTATTGCTGCTTCACTGGGTGTTGATTATAGATCTAAGTGAAATGAAATCTCTGACAGCTTCTATCTTTTGTCCATTTATCATGATGCTTATTGGTCCAGTTTTGAGGACTTTTCTTTATGTTGAGGTGTAATCCATACTGAAGACTGCTGTCTGATCTTCATCAGTAAGTGCTTCAAGTCTCACTTTCAGCAAGTAAGGTATGCCATCCACATATTGCAGGTTGTTAATGAGTCTTCTACCAATCCTGATGCCACGTTGTTCATATAGCCCAGCTTCTCAGATTATTTCCTCAGCATACAGATCGAAAAGTATTGTGAAAGAATACACCCTTCCTGATTATAAACCATGCAGTATCCCATTGTTCTGTACAAACAACAGCCTCTTGGTTTATGTACAGGTTCCTCATGAGCACAATTAAGTATCTGGAATTCCCATTTTTCACAGTATTATCCATAATTTGTTATGATCAATTGAATGCCTTAGCATTGTCAATAAAACACAGGTGAATATCTTTCAGCCAAGATCCGTCTGACATCAGCAATCATATCCCTCATTCCACATCCTCTTCAGAATCCAGCTGAATTTCTGGCAACTTACTGCTGCATCTGTTTTTGAATTATCCTCAGTGAAATTTTATTTGCATGTGACATTAATTATATGGTTCAATAATTTCCACATTCTGTTGGATCGCCCTTCTCTGGAATGGGCACAGATAGTAATCAGCCTCTTCCAGTCTGTTGGCCAGTCACTATCTTCCAAACTTCTTGGCATAAAGGAGTGACTGCCTAAAGTGCTGCATCTGTTTCTTGATACATCTAAATGGGTATATACCGTCAATTCCTAGAGCCTTTTTTTTTTTTTTTTTTTTTGGCCTATTACAAAATTTTATTTAACAAAAAAATTTACTATGAAAAAATGTACATAGCCTGATTTTTACATCATAATAGAACAGGCCCTTTGGAGAGAGGACATGTGGAAGCAATTGATTTCTCTGCTGAACACAGCCGTTACTCATACTCGTTCTAAGGCTTCTAACATGATGATACTATTTCCTCATATTACCACCATTCCAATATTGTTACATTGTCCACTAGTTGCCATCTCCACACATTCATCTATCACAAGATTCATAAAGGAATCAAATCCCTGCAATATTTCTTGGACATGTCTGCCAACATTTAGTTTCAATGATAACTTCTTGTCCATAAATTTTCTTAACTCGGGCTGATGAGCATTGTTCATTCTGCCTACTCGGAGGGCTCAGCGATGCATTGTCCCTGGAGCCTTGTTTTTGGCCAATTCCTTCAGTGCAGCTTGGACTTCTTCCTTCAATACCATTGGTTCTTGATCATATACTAACCCCTGACATGGTTGAATGTCAACCAATTCTTTTTGGCACATGACTATTCCTTCCATGTTTTGATGCTTCTTGCATCATTCAGTATTTTGCCATGGAGTCCTTTAGTACTACAATTTGAGGCTTGAATTTTCTTCAATTCTTTCACCTTGAGACGTGTGTTCTTTGCTTTGGGTTTTCTAATTCCAGATACTTGCTCATTTCAGTGTAATGCTTTATCTTCTCAA